AGGCTAAAGGAAGCCTTGGATTTCTTTTTTCCACTCGCCTTTTGAAAATGCAGCATTTGGGAAGGGCGAGTGGTGAGCTCTTGCTGTCTCACGTGGCTGCTTTCAGATTTCCTGTAGCTGGAAAGTCTTGTGTTAAAACTTTCTTCTTTTGACGTTAAAAGCCTTTTCATGGTCTTTAGGGAAGCGTGCTGTAAGGAGAGGTTCAGGCAGATTCATCTTAAGTTTGTGAACTTGGTGTCATCTCTCAGATGTGCTGTCGTTGGTCCTTTTTCGGTGAGAAGAGTTGTGTGTGTACGGTCCTTCATCTGACACCGAGGGGGTAAGAGACCAAGGGGGCTGAGAAAACGGGAAGGTGAAAAAAGCATTTCATTGCTGACTATTCTCAAATCAGTTGTGTGTGACGAGTTTTATCTCGGCTGAAACAATTTCAGAACTGTTGGTTAATTGTGAGAATTGGAGGAGAGATGAGGTACAAGGAGGACTAGCAATACCCAAAATATTTTAAATGGGAGGAGAGAGGGAGCTGGGGATGTATGAAAGTAGGCAGCTTGGCTTCAATTCCTGCAAAAATTGAGTGAACAAACATGGGTTTTTTTCTAACTTCTTCTGGAAGTAATGTGGGTAGGAGAGTTAATTGGTATGGAATTGTCAAGGAAACATTTTCAGACCATTCTAATTTTCTTATTTTAAAAAGTTTCATAGGAAAAAGCCCCAAACAGTTTCCCTTATTCTTTTCTCAACAACTACCACCCCGTTACACTCCTGTAAGGAAGTAGGGAAATGGGGTCTTATCTGCCATAGGATGGCTAGGAGAAGGGATGGATAAGTGTTGAGAGAAGAAATAAAGATGATGATATTGAAGGCTCCTTTGTGTGAGATTTTGCGCTTGTGTATTCTGAGTAATCTTCTACTAGACATCTTTCATTCATAGCCTGGATAATAGAATAAGCTAATTTGTTACATTTTCACATGACTGAAAGCTGCAAGGGGGAGAGCAAGGTTAGAGTTCAAAATTGGTACGCTTTTTTTGGCAGGAGGAAGAATTTGGAGGAAGTTAATCCAGTTAGGCAGGAGTAATCGACGAGTCAAACATTAAATGGAAAAGAACCAGTCTCCTGGCAGTTTCTGGGAAAAGGATCTGGGGATTACGGTGGTAAAGGGATTGCAGATTGGTGTAGTCAGTGGTGTTAAGCTTCTGTACTAAAACCTGTCACCTCTATGGTGGGAGGGATGAAGAAGGGAGTTGTAGAGCCTCCAAAATGGGTGAAATGACACTGTACCCACAGCTGACACTGTCTCTGCTGGGGCTCTCATCGTGTTTGGGACATGGCACTGCAGGAGGAACATGGGCTGGTTGGAGAGGGTTCAGAGTTATCAGAGCCCTGCTGTCTACCTAATACTGAACTGGAAATGCTAAGCCCAAGTAAAAGGCTGGAGAAGGATTTAAGTCCTCAAATATGCAGAAGGCTGTTGGGAAAGACGAACAGCCTGTTCTCCGTGCCCATCCTGGCACAAAGGAGCTTGCTTAAATCATAGCAATTCTAGCACTAATCCTAGAGGGTGAAGTGCTGGAGCTGAGTGCCTGGAGGAGCTGCTGGGTCCCTGACACTGGTTGTCAAGAGCACATCTGGGGGAAAAAAAAAAAAAAAAAATCTGTTGGGAATGAGCAAGATTTAACCGTTCCTGTTTCTGAGCAGGAAGATAGACTTGTCTTGCTTTTATTTAAGTTTCTTGGGCTAATATTAACACAAATCAACCCACTGATATTTGTACACACCTACGTATGTGCACCCCCTCCAGAGCGAAGTCCGTGGAAAGGAGGAGGACACCCTCCATAAAATACACCAATTCAGTCTTTATTAATGTGCTGTCATTTAACCGAATAATCAATAGGTTGATGGAGTGGGAGAAAAAGCTTGTTGATAGAAATAGAGGTTTATTAAAGTCTTCATGCCGACTCAAGGTTTAAATGAGGTATGAACCCAGTTGACTGGAGCGTGGATGCAGCAGAGAAAAACTAAACTCGAGAGTGTTTTTCTTTATTCTTGTAGGGGTCTGGATTTGTATTGGAAAAACTTACAGAAGCTTGTGATCTGGGAAGGAAGAAAGCTTGATCGCTTGAGTAGAATGCTTTCTCTTGGAAAAGCCAGGGACAATAAAGCTCAATCTTTAATATTTAAAAAAAAATAATAATTTAACTTTCTGTAGGGATTGAAGAGCTGATAAACAGATGAAAATATCTTCATGCTGTTCATGACTCTTGTTTCTTGTCTGGTATATCAGAGCTGGAACTCAGTGCTCCACACACAGGGAATACAGTACACCTGCACGGAGGTGTGATTACACAAACTGAAGTAGCAAAAGCAGCACCTAGAAATTTTGTAATTTGTTCTGGGTGCGTGTTTTTTTTTTTTTTAATGTGGGGTTTTGTCCCTTTTTATCCTCAGGAAAGACATAATCTCAAGCATTTGGATACCAACATAACGGGTCTCCAGTCTTGTCAGAGGCTGTTATTGTCACCAGGGAAACTTTGGTCTTCTGTACTTTGTTTCTGATTTCATCTTTGAATTCTTGAAGGTAGAAGGACACTGGAACACTATAACCTACAAAAGCATAACTTATCTGTTGTTTCTCTCACACCTTTTACTCCTGCCTTATCTTCAAGTTTCTGTGAATCCTGAGTAGCAAAGACAATGAGCTTTGTGCAGGAAGGCTGGGGTCCCTCTCCGGGGGGATGCTGAAGGGGCTCTTTGGAGACAGCAGACTTTTTGTGCAATTCAGAGATAGAAGGAAGCATATCAATTTGTTAATTAAGGCTGTTTTCCAAGGTAAATCTGATTGTAAAAAAAAATACAAAACAACAAAACACAAAACCAACAAGCGATTGAAGAAGCTAAAATGCTTATAGCACAGGCTTTACAAGTAAAGGTCTCCTTCATGTTTGTACTTTTTCTGAAAACATCATTATTCTGCAGCTTAACAAATCCGGTTATTAAATGCACATTCCTTTTCAAGGTGGTCTTAACATACTGCAGCATTTCATTATCGACCTTAGTGGGAAAGATTAAATAGTTTTGAGATGAGTGTTTTTGTGACCTTTTGTGAAGGGTTTAGTGTGTGCCACAGAAGCTTCATTTCGTATTTGTGAATGCATTTTAACCCTTTGATAACACCACCTTTCACAAGTGCTATGGATTGCCCTCGTGTTCTTAGAAGTGCATAAGGGAAAACCACCTTCTTGCTGTGTCAGGTGTTGCTCACGGGTGGATGTTAAACTGGTTCATGGGTAGGTTTGCTACATCCGTGTCAAATCAGATTCCTGTAGCATCTGCCTGAGCTGCGTTGTGTGGTCTGAACGTTCCTCTGAACTATGTGTAACTGGGAGACAGGGAGACTCCCCCCAAGTTCCAGACTTCCCCCACCCCATTAAGGACTACAGACAGGCTTTAAAGACCAACTGGTTTTCCCATGTTTGCTCTGGAGCACTTGCTCACGTATAGCTTAGGGACAGAAACCACTTGAACTGGTAGAATCTCCTTTCTGGTCCCCAACCAACCTGTGACTTCAAAAAGTTATTGTCCAGATTTTTAGACAAGAGGAGTCAGAGTCTGATGCTTCGTGCTGAGAGTGCATTAGACACAGTGCTTGTCAGAGTCTGATGCTTCGTGCTGAGAGTGCGTTAGTAGACACAGTGCTCGTGAAATATGCTTTATACACCAGAGCTGGCATTTAGCTTCTATGGAAAATAGTTATTTTCTAGGCCTTGCAAAAAGACCTGGCAAGTTCAGCTGCGGTGTGAGTTTTCAGCTGGCATTTTTAAGTGTTTTCCTCTCACAACTTGCTTTGTATGAAGATAGGAGGAGTGGTTGCAGGCCTGGGTTGAAGTGACTTGCTTTGAAAGCACTATTAACCTTTAATCTGTGTGCTTGTGCTTTGGGTTTGCTGGTGGGCAGCAAGTAGGATTTCAATTTCTATTGCCATGGTGTTTTGTACACACATCCCACTCCAGGTCCCCAAGTGGAGGAGCAGTGGAGCTTGTCAGAGTGTAGGTGGGGGAGCCTTGATGTTATTTTGAAGGTGGGCTCTAAAAACAAAGACTTCTTTTCTCTCAACCCATCCTTACGCTGATTTTGGAAAACTCTTCTTCCTGAAAGACTTTCTTCCTTCTGTTTTCTATGGATGATTAAGTTAAGACAAGTCAAAAGTCAAAATGTATTGACACACAATCTTTCTGCTTGACCAAATACACCAGAAATACAGTAATTAAAATTCTCTTCTTAATGGAGAGTAGAGGTTAATTATAGAAGTCTTCTGGGAATACTTAAAATGGAAAAGTAATCATGTTTGTCCTGAACTAGAATGGAAGTAAAAAAAGAAGTCGTATGGCACTTGCATGATATGTTAAGCTCAGAATTGGAGACTCTTTCTCCTGAGGACTGAATTATTTTTATTTCTTAATATTTGTTATCCAAAACAAGTTACCGCACTGCTGTGGTATGGCAGCTGTAGCACGAACGGCCAAGAAGAGAGTCCTAAGAGCATAAATCATTAGTTATAAACATGGTGCTTGAGTACATATATTAGTTTACATACGTTTTGATGATGCAGACGTCTGTCTGCAAGGGGTTGCTCAGGACTATTAACCATATTGATTCCCATATGAGCAGATGAATGTGTTACGGGGTGAAAACCTCTTTGAATTTAAGAGTCCATTAGTATAAGTAGTCAAAGCAGAAAACGCTGTCATATAGACCAAGCTATTTCTAATACCTACAGGGAGAGGACATTGCGAGTAGCCGTAGTTCTTATGCACATTACAATATTCTGAAATGAAGAGGCATTTTGTTTAAAACCTAGCTATTTCTAATACCTACAGGGAGAGGACATCGCGAGTAGCCGTAGTTCTTATGCACATGACAATATTCTGAAACGAAGAGGCATTTTATGTTTAAAACCTGTAGAAGGCTAACCCGAAACATTGTGTGATCTGTGTTTTCCAGGATCCCTTGTGAGAACCTTCACTCCTTTTTACTTTCTGGTGGAGCCAATGGACGTCCTGTCAGTTCGCGGCGCTTCTGTGATCATGAACTGTTCAGCTTATTGTGAAACTTCTCCAAAAATTGAATGGAAAAAAGATGGGACTTTTCTAAACTTGGTGTCCGATGACCGGCGCCAGTTGCTACCGGATGGATCTTTATTAATAAACAGCGTGGTGCATTCCAAGCATAATAAACCCGATGAAGGATATTATCAGTGTGTGGCCACTGTGGAAAGCCTGGGGACCATTGTCAGCAGAACAGCGAAGCTCACAGTAGCAGGTAAGTCTCTTTTTGTTAACTAATAGCACCAGAATGTAGATACTCTGCCCTTGCGAAAAGGGGATGGCGCTTTCCAAGAGAGGAAAAAGTGGTTTCATCAGTTACCAGTGAAACTGGGGCTGTATCTCTCATTTTATTAGCTAAACAGTGTCATATATTCTATTCATCTAAGCAGCTTAATGTGTGGGTATTTCTCAGGAAACGCTGAAGATGGGGAAAACTGAAATGAATGGATTTAAAAGAATGTGTCAGGTGCATGTAATCACAATGAAGATTTACCACAGCTTAAAGGTGGGGAGGGAAGAGCAGAGCAGGGTTCTACTTTCCTTACGAATAAATACCCTTAAAAATAACTTTCTCCACTTGCTTATATCTAAATACCCTTAAAAATAACTTTCTCCACTTCCTTATATCTTGATTGAGATTTATCTGCCCTCTGTCACGAAACATTTGGGAAGCTCCTAAATGTGTACAGTCCCTAAAGAACTGGAAGAGTGGTGGAAAAAGCAGGAGCACTGGGGGTTTGTATTTCTCTGTTTCCTGAGTATTCTTGAGGTGTGAATGAGGAAGTTTGAAAAGGAAGAGAACAATGGAAGGTGTAAAACTTTCTCCAGAGACATCAAGAAGCCCAAGTCATAACCTCACTTTGGGTGTTTTGAGTAACCTTTAGACGTGATTTGATAGTAGCTTTTATTTAGGGCATAGAAAGCAGGAAGTAGGTGAAGTTTGAGGTAAAAATAAAGAATACGACTAGGGAAAGTGTTGTGTTCTCAGAATGTCATTTGCTTCCATCTCAGGGATCAGGGGTGTCAGACTGTAAGTGTTTTGTAAACAGTGTAGCTGGAAGAGACTTATTATTACTTTGTAAGAGTGAGACTTCAAAACCCAACAAAAAAAGGTGAACTTAGGCAGTGTAACTAGGAAAGAAGCCTGTGAAGCAATTTTCTTTTGTTTCTCTAATGATGTTTGCCAGCCTTTTCAAACAGATTTTTTTTTTTTTCTTTGCTTAATAAATGTCTCAGGGTAATGAATTCTTCCCGACTAGTGCTACAGCAGCTCCCAGAGCTGCTGCTTACTGTCATTTATATTCCGATGTTGTTTCGATTAAGTTAGCTTGTAGCATTGTTGTGAAACATCAAATGTCAGATATAAAAAAAGAAATAAAATATGGGGTTTTATACCTTAAAGGAGTGACTTTCAGAGTCTCTGAGTGAGAAATACATTTCTGAGTTTCTTGGCAATGAGGACAATAAAAGCAGTTCTCACACACTTATGTCAGGCAATTACCACCTTCTTACATTGCTGCTGTCGTGATTAATTCTGCTGTTTTCCACATGAGATCATCCAGTCTCTTGCTTCTGTTATCATTCTGGTCTATACGATCATTAAGTAAGGTTAATGGGGTTAAAAATGAAGGTAATCCAAAATGTCTTCAAGATTTCCAGTTCATTTTTCCTGTATCACTGCAGAAGGTACTATTTTAATGGATAGTTTTTAAAATGATGGAATGTTAAAAAGCCTTTCATTATTTTTTTTTTTAAAAAAAAACCAGCCCAACACAATCCTGGTGAGTTTTGTTTTCAAAAAATCTTTGCTAGAAAACAGAACAAATGTAGTCTAACCTGAGTGAGTAGGAATGTTTACAACACAGACAGTTGCATGTTGCCCTAGCAGCTGTATTAATTCCATGCAATAACAATTGTGGGGTTTTTTGTTCAGAACTGAAGGAAATGGGCTCGATGCATGTTCTTCATTGCCTTATTCCCTGCTGTTAGAAACCGGCACCCGAGCATCCTCTGGCTGTGGTGTGTATAAGCTGCTCTCCTGCTCCGGAAGATTTGCCGGAGGGAGGTGTGTGGAAGCTGTTTATTAACTCAGCGAAGCGCCAGAAGCTGTGCAAGACTACATGGAGTTTAATCCTTCAGTTGGGAGGATGAGTGGCTTTGGTTGCTGAAGGCTTTGGAATAAGAGATGAAATATTTAAATTCGGGTTTAACTGTATTGCTTTTCCTGACCTCATTTGAATCCCTCAGTTTTATCAGGGATTTTTAATATTCCCTTCCCCCCCCTTTCCTTTTAATTGGGAGCTTTCAGGCTGTGGTGAGCGTGGGGATAGTTAGCATAGCAAGGTCTCTCCTCGCCTTCCAGATAACAGCGGGAGGCAGCTAATTCCTGTCTTAATTGAGCAGTGGTATGTTGAATTCATACAGTGGGTGTGAATGTTGTACTGTGATGCACCTGATTTCTTTAAAAGAGAATATTATGAAGCACAGCTTGCATGTTTTAACTGCTTCTTGCTCATTAAATAACTTCATTGCTTGAAAATGACAAATTCTGGTGAGCGATGTAGGCCAGGGCAAAGAAAATCCAGTAAAACATGCCATGTTCATCATATATATGAATGGGTGCAGGGTTTGAGTTTTTAGCCGTAGAACTGCAGTGTTTTCCCTGACAGCTGATGCTGAGCAATCTACCTGCATCGAGTCTTCTGTTGAGGTCTAATGGGCTGATAAATTCTGATAAATTTCTCAGATTATTAAAAAGGTTTTTTATATATTACAGTTTGACGGATCTAAAATTTTTGAACATCAGCAACTGCAGCGCTCTTGTTGCTGTGGGATGACAGATATTGATGGCACAAGGTGTTGCAAGGTGACAGAGGGGCTTAGTCAACCGTTGGATGAAAAAATCAGCCCAAAACACACACTCTGAGTACCTGGGCCCAGACCAGACCCTGCAGACAGTGACTGAATGCTTTCCGTTAGAGACCTACTTTCTTGGCTTCTTGCTCCAATTTATGTTTTTGACACAGTGCTACGAAGGTGTCATGGCAGGGGAGAATTGATGATGGGCTGGATGGGCAAGTTTGTAGTGTTTTTGACAATGTGCTTTTAAAGAACCTTTTCCATACGCGGTAATAGATGAGAAGCCTTTACTCTGCAGGGTTTTTTTGGTGTCAGAATCAAAGTTTGTGGCAACTGAGACTCCTACGGAAATCTATCTTCTCCCTCTGTACTTTCTCATGTGATTTAAAAAATCAAGTCAAAAGTTATGATAAAGTATTATGTTATGAAGAATACTTTAAATCGGCACGGTTAGTCTGTAACTTGAAATTGTCTGTTTACTGTTCTACCAGACCTCTAGTAGTAAATCTTTGATTTTCAGCAATTGCAAACAGCAAGACCTAAGTTAGTTTTAACGATCAGTAGTTTCAGGATACACATATCTCTTTTCCCCATTAAATGTGTGCGCTTCCCCATTTTGGTTCTTTCTAGCAAATGAAGGTTTGTCGTTTCTAGTGTTTCTTTCCTTCTTTGCTTCCTCTCGCTGTGCACACTTAACCGTGTTATCGTGCTTCAAACTGGATTTGGGAAATAACTCATTTATTTTTAAAAGTGGTTTTGCTTGCTTGCTTTGAAACCCGAATATGAGTGCACAAACACAAGGGAGGTGGAGGGAGACGGTGCGGTGGTCATATTGTCCATAAAATTTATAATTTCTTGCCATTATTATTAAGGATTTGAACTAGGGAAAGTCAAAGGAGCTGCCTAATTTATGTAAAGCCACAACAGTTTTTAATCTGTGCTTTACTACAGTATGTTTTTTTTAATTGGCTTTTGAAATGTAAATCTGTCTTTGATACTTAAGTGCCAGTTAGATCTTGAGCAGGGTGAAGGGCAGGAATAGCTCCTACAAAGCACCCATTAAAGAAAAGGGTTACAAAACTTTGGGGAACTGTCTGTAATTCATCTTTGTATGTAAATTTAGATGTATTTTAGTAAAAAGTATAATGATACTAGTACTAGCTTAAAAATATTCCCAAGATGATCTTTTTTCCAGTCACCACTTTCAACTACTTTGTTAAAGCTTTTGTAAAGCTTTTATTGAGAGAGGAGGTACACGAAGATGTAAAAGGTCTGAAGCGTGGCACTGGCACTGAGTTCCATCATAAGGATTTATCAGTTCTATACATCCATTTAAAGACTGCTCGCTACATGATTTATTTCACCACTTGTCGTCTTTTTTCCCCAAGTGAATCCATCTTTTCTTTCTCTTCTTCCATTTATTTTTGTATTCAATAGTGCTTTGCTTTGAGCTTTATGTGTAATTTGCTTGGTTATGATGAGGAGCCTGTATCACTGCCTTGGTAATAATTTCAGGTATGTCTGAGTTTCACTAATTCAAAAAGCACTTAGTGATAACATGACTTTTTTTTCCCCCTCACATCTTGATTAAATTGTATTATTTCACATATATATTCACAGAAATTTTATTTTCAAACCTTCATTTTTGTAATTACTTTTAGAAAACTACAGGCAAATTACTTCTGTTGAGAAATATTCCTGCCATGTAGTACCAAACTGTTAAAGGGTTCAATAAACAGAAAAGGCAGGTTTATATTTAGTAAAAATGTAATATTTCTTTCAGAACCATGTGAAAATGTTGCAGGTGCAGCACCGCCCAGAACGAGCAGGGTTTCTTAATGAACAGTAATTCTGAAAACTATTGGGGTGAATCCAGGAATGGTTTTGTGTTGAAAACAAACACTGAAACCTTGATAGACTTTCCATTTTTCCATTTACAGCCAGAAATTGTTGGGTGGGTTCAGACATATCATATACATGCTTGGAAGAGAGACTTGGGTTGAATTCCAGGTGTGCTCTAGCACTCTGTTCCTCGGCACCGTGTTCTCTGTGCTCCTCTGCTTTTCTGACCCAAATAAATCTTCCTCCTCCTGGCTCGTTCAGCTCATCACACGGTGTGGGCTCTCCTGACACCTCTGGCTTTGGGTCCTGCTGCTGTCGTACAGTGGAAGGATTTTGGCAATTTCATTTATCAGGAACAGCGTGGGGAGGAGGTGAGTCCCGTCCCGCTGGACTGGACACTTGGTGAGGTCCCACCTCGAGGGCTGTGTCCAGTGCTGTACCACAAAAAAGACATTGAGGGGCTGGAGCGGGTCCAGAGAAGGGCAACGGAGCTGGTGAGGGATCTGGAGCACA